GCATCTAACGAAGGACATACAAAAGAAAAAAACATTCTAGGTGAGACTGCTGAACTGCCCCCCATCCACCCACTTTCTTTGGGCACCTGGGGCACCCTGTCACCCCTCCTGACTGCTGTCAGTGGCCCAGCAAAATAACCAAACCTCCTAATACTCACCAGTGGGGTAGAAAACAGCCCCTTTTGAAATCTCATAGAGTATGTCCCGAACACGAAAGCATCATTAGCTAATGTCAAAGACTTCAATAGCTTTACAGAGTGAGAATAAAGGGGGGTGAGGATTGGTTGTGTGCTGACCTGGCACTGTAGGAAGGCTGATCGACATTTGGATTATGTTTGAGGCACTAGACGTGTCCCTTGTATCCATTCAGAAGCTCCTCAGACCTCTTTGCCTCTCAAGGCTCTGCCATAGTGACACTTAACCTTTTTGACAATATGTTTCCGAGGGGGAGAGGAAATGACTATTTTTCCTCCATCTGGACTATTTCCTTTTTCGTTTCTTGGTTTCACAATTTCCACCAAATCTGAAGAAGGCCGCCTTCAAAAAGGCAAACAGTAAAACCCTCTACGGATTGCAAACCCTTTATTTAAAATGGAAGAGAACTTGAATTGTTGAAATGAAGTCTACCTTCTAAAAATCTTCTACTGAGGTTCTAAGTGGGACTTATAACAGTCAACTGTTTACGTAATCTATTTAATTCAGGAGTCCAGAAGTCTCGAAAACCATGTTTTAGAACCTCTTTATCCATATAAAAATGTTCCAAGCAACCAACCAAACTTTTGTATTGATTTCATTTATATTGTATTAAGATAAAAACACATTTACTGGGGTTGTGGTTCACTGTGCTAGTTTGTACAAGATGTTGTTTACAAAAAAGTTTAAAAAACAATAAAAACAGACATTTGCAAAAAAACTAACAAAAACAAAAAACAGCACAAATATTGTTAAAGTGCTTTGCACCATCATTTGCAGAATATGTTGAGACAAAATGTAAGTGTTAAGAGGAGTAACTGACTTCTTAATTTTTTAGTCTGCTGACAATACAGTCATAAAATTGTTAATATAACATACTTAGACAGGTTTTATTTTTGTGTCTTCAAAGGAGAAAAATCCAAACTATTAAAAAACTGATGGTCAAATATGCAGCTAGCAGCTGCTACATCTTTTTGAATATCAAGCCTTCATGTTATGTCTTATATTGTTCCAATAAATCTGAGCTTATGTGACCTCCAGTGCATATTAGACCATTCACTGTACAAATACAACATGTTGACAAAAATGTGTTTTTAATAAAACTAGAAAATATACTTATGAATTTTTTAACATATATTCTTTGGAGGATCTATTTTCTAGCAGTATACCCTTGCATTACAGTGTATTATGCATCATGCAGTGTCAGTGCCGTCATATGTGACAGGACTCTGTAATGTAAGGCAGTTATCAGGCCAGTGTCACTCATTTCATAATGAATGCTTTTTGTCTATGTGCCGCAAGTTCCATTCACTTAGGGTGTGAAATAATTGGCCTTTGCAGACATGGTGACAGGTAAACCATTTGTTAATTCTGGGGAATGGGAATCAAAAACACTGAATGAAATTGAAACAGCAGTTGATTAATCAAAAGACAGACGGTGCCAGAATGAGAACTTCAAAGCTTTTAGTACATTTGTTGAATGACGCTGTAGAGTTGTGCTTTGCAGTATGAGTTTTGTGATGCTAATCTTGAACTGTCAACAAAGAGTTTTCTCTTTATCCCTGCTGCAGCACTGCACCACATCCTGATGGTTTGAGCAGCTATTCAAAGACAAATAGAACAATGATCTGAAAGGGGAAAAAACCCTTTCTGTTGCCTCCACTTGTGTCTCAACCATGGAGGCAAGGAGTGAACTACCTTGCTGTGGCTGACACAAGAGGGAGTGAAGTCACAGTTTATGCTGATAATGCTGCTTTCCCCAGCCACTTTGACTCCAGCAGATTCTTCCTTTCAGTTACTCGAGTTTGTGCACTAATCATAAGCAGTTAGCTGTGCAGCTGTGAAGGACAGTGATGGAAGTGCCGTGACCACAGCTCTGCTCATTATGCTTTTATTGGCGCACTGTTGCATTATTACTCCCTGCAGGTTACTCTTCTCGGAGTGTAATAGGAAGGACTTATCCTAACTTATTTAAGCAAATATAGCCATAATAATAATGATGATAATAATCAAGAAGGCCAAACACTGAGGCATGATCTTTTGTGGGAGGGATGAAAAAAATTATTCATACTTGTAGGAAAGTGACAAATCCAGGAATGAATCCAGAGGAACCTTTATCTCCCTAACGCTCTGCGTGCAGCTAGGACCGTATGCAATCATAGTTTCCTCCTCTGCCTCCAGACTGTAATCCACCATGAATTAATCATGGTCTTAAGAGTTAACCAAGCTTGGGGAGGTGGAATAAAAGGTAGGGGTGTAGGGTCTGTGGAAGGATATAGACCTCTGTTGAGCCCCTGGGCTTAGCCCCCCTGTGGCAACACCATGCACTGACTGCCCCCGGGTGTATGGCTCTTTAAATTCAAATCTCCTATTGATCGCTTCTCAGCTGTTGGTGCAAACTGACCTTGTAGTCAAACACTGGAAAAATAAAACAAGCCTTAACAGCATTCAATGGACTTTAAATGACATTTTAAATCTGAGTAAGGATGTTTCAACAGTCCACACACCCACTGGGATCTAAATAAGTGTACAGTATGTGTGTGTAATGAAAGGAGTGACGGGGGATATATCATTAAGAGATGGTGTGTGTGTGTGTGTATGTTGGTGGGGGTACAAGAATGGTTTAGGGTACAACCAGGGCCAAAATATTGAGCCAATAGGCCCAGCAGGCAAACGCTAAGATACTTGCATTCAAACTGAGAAGGTATTTTTTTAGAGCCACTCTCCATATGAGAAGCATTTGGCTGCTAGTATTAAATGCAGAGTGGCTCAGCTGGAATTGTATCCTCTCCTCAGAGTCAATGTAGTGTAAGCAAACAAACACATGGCACTCCTTGTTTGTCCTCAAACAAACGACACATGTTTGGGGAAGCCAATTTCTTGGCCCGGAAATGAAAAAATGCTGTTAATCAATGGAGTGGGTTGGTTGATCGCTGAGCCACATTTCCCTGGCTCAGTACTCAGAAAGTGGGTGATACACCGTCATGTATCAGGGGGATAAGCTGACCACTGCTGATGAGATGTTTGTTTTGCCACCTCATGAGCCTTTTCCTTCTTTCAGAGACTAAAAACAGCAGAGATACAACTCATAGGATAAGACCATTTATTTTGCCATTAAAATAACATTTGGTGGCATTTTCTTAGAAACTGGTCTTTGCTTAGAGGTATTTCAAGAGGGATTCAACCCATAGCCAGACCAAGAAACCTTCTTTTTGTACTCTCATAATACAAACCTTATAAGGTCTTTAAAACAATTTGCTGCCCAGAAATTGACAAATGTTGCATTTTTATTATAAAAAAAAATGGAAAGAAAGGTAAATATGATTGGCTACAGCCACAATGGATAAACAGACAAAGAGAAGAATGCCATCTGGAAAAAGTCAAACATAACGAAAAAGAAAAGAGGAAATGACAAAAAACAAGCAAAACCCTACAGAACCAAAATTAGAAATAAAGCAACTATAAATGAATATTCTGATGTGGATAAAGTGTATGTGACAGAAGTGATTCCTGAATGACATTTGGTCTTTTTCATTCTGTCTGTGTCATGACTTATTGGAGGAGTAGGACCCAATGTGCAGAACACACAAGCCAAGGGAAGGTTCCAATAGAATTTTAATAAATAATACAGAATGAGAGACCAAAGGGGAAGAAAAATACAATGGCTCAACCTGATGGCAAGAAACAAAGGATACCAAATAGCTAAACTAAACAGTTTGGTCAGGGAGTTGAGTAAGGAACTCAAGTCAAACTGGAGAAACCTAACCAAAAAACTCGCAACAGGCAGATATCCAAAACCTTAGGAACAAACCAAACAAAGCCAAGACAGAACAAACGTGAGACAGGTACGGACTTATGACACACAAACTCTGGGTGTGGTCAACAAACATAGCAAGAGGCTGATGGATAGGAGGAGAATATATGGGCAGGAGACCAGGGGGTAATGAGCAGCAGGAGGATGCAATGAACAGTAATTGTGAACTGGGGTAAAGCTGGGGCAGGTGAGGTGACACAAGACAGGAAAATAACCAAAATAAAAGCACCAAAACAGAAGCAAGACCACTAACCATAACAGTCTCCAAACACCTGAAATAAAAAAATAATGTGATATGTTCCTCAGGAAATGTTTTATGTGCATTTTGGAAAGAATATATTTTATTTTAGCCAAGCCCATAGACAGGATTTTAGAAACCAGATATCCCCATGTACCTTATTCCAAACAACAAAACAAAGGATCATTTTAATATTTAAATTGGTCATATTCATTATTATAAAATTTAAATGCTCCCATTTCCACACAGTCAGAAATAGATTGGTAGAAAAACACTGAATTTATTTATTGACCTAAAATTGGTCACATTTTCACATATTGAGTCCAGAAATACTGGAATCATCTTATAATTTACCCACCATGTATTTAATATGCTGGCAGGGACCCATATATGGGCTGATTTAACACTCCATCGACATATTACCTAGTGTAATATATGCAGAACATACAGCGAAATACGCATCATTGGAAAGCATAAGGCCTCACAATTTTAATAGTGCAAACTATTTTCAGATATTACTTTCACAAAAAAATCTGTTCCTTGTTTTTCATCAGGGTTCATACAGTGTGGAATGATAACAATCTACCTTTTTTGTTGTCCGTAAACACATCAGTCAGCTGTATTTCTGGTGTTTATAGCTCCTTAGCTTGATAACTCCATTGAATGAAAACTGTTCAAACCTTTGGTTCTACAATGTGCAATCCTTGAGAAATATTCATAAAACCACCATG